CCGCGTTTCGAGGCGACTGCATAGGTCTTCGGGAGCCAAATATTCCAAGCTGGCTTTGAACTCTCTACACTCGGTGGTGTCATGAGTGGTTATTTGGTGCCAGTCGCACCAATTTTTACCCTCTGGCGGTTCTTGGCCGGTGACCGCTTCTGGCTTTCTCCCGCCTCTTCGTCTTTCTCTCCCCCTTTCTCGATCTGTGGAATACACCTCCCTTTTGCCGTCGCGCTCTGAGTACCTGTTGCGGTATGGCTTTCGTTCAGGAGAACGCCTTCCACGTCGAGCGTCTGCACGTTCCGAGGGATCGTTTCGGGAGCGACCCTGATGACCTCTGTCGTCGGTAGCTAGCGCCTCTTCAAGCAAGATAGCTCGTCGCACCAACTGTTCCAAATCCGACCATGACGTCAACATGGCCTTCTTTTTATCAAGGTCCTTTTGAGTTCAATGCTGGTGGTGGATATTCTTAGGTTATCGGCGGCTACGACCGAGGAAATGCCATCTATTTCACAGGCGATCGCATTCCACCGGTCGTAGAATTCTGCGAGCGAATCCTCCTTCTTTTGCCTATAGTTTATGAGTGCCGAAACGGTGAGTTTGCGACGCCACTGGGATGCAAACTTCGTGGAGAAAAGCAACGCAAATTGCTCAAAATTTTCGATCACCCATTCCGAGAGGGAGGTATACCATGTCCGACACTGGCCGCTGAAGTTGACAGGGAACGCTCGGCACAAGTCTGAGTCGGAAACGTTTATAAGTTGCATTTTTAGCATGAAGGCGCAAAGATGGTCTGCGGGATCTGAAGTCCCGTTATATGTGGGTAGTCCGAGGGAGGAGAAGTTTGGCGGTACTGGGGTCTTGAACAGCTCTTTGGATAGCAGGTTTTGAAGGACATTCGGGCTTTTATGCTTTCCATAGGTTGACCGCAGGTGCTCTTCAAGATAGCCCAAGTCTACTTCTTCTGCTTCCGGTCCCCCGCCTTTTGTCCGAGCAGGGCTGTCGAGGACTAGGACGCCTTTCTGTTTCTCCTCCCGCGTTATCCCCTTTGAACCCTCGGCGGGGTCTTCCTTTGTCTTCAAGAGATGGAGGATTTGTGACAGGCTGTCTTGCATGCTTGCGATCTGTAGGCCTTGATTTTTGACCACCTCCTTGAGCTCCGATTCATCTTCGACTCTCGGCAATAGACCTCGGAGGGTGTTGTTCTCGGTCATTCCCTTGAGAGGGGTTTCGAAATCGTCGCCCATCTTTGTCGACGAAGTAGTGAGGCCCCACGATGGGCACCAAAATGTTTAGGCCTAGTTCGTACCGGGCGGTTTTGTGAGACTTCACTGACTTCGTGCGGTCCTTCGTAGATGAATGGCGGTCTTCAAAGTCCTGCAAGAAAGGTCCACAGGGGGTGGCCTGGGACCTCCTCCGATGCCTAAGTTAGAGAGAGAAGTGGTTGTAAAGTGGATTAGAGAGAGAATAGAGTAGATAGGAGTTACCATAAATGCTGCCCCATTGGGGCTATTTATACTAACTTGGACTCGGGATTGAGACAATAATGTTGTGTCAGGCGGCCTGGGACGCCTCTGAACTCATTAAATGACATGTCAGTACGATTGTCTGACTTTCTCAGTTCAGCGTAGCTTTAGTCTTTCTGTCGGGCGGTTTACTGACGTGTGCGTACGTCAGTGTCGGGCGGTCACCGAGGATAAGAGTGGGACAGACCGCCCTAGTTTGGCTTAACTTACTGTGGGCTTTGTAACCATGGGCCTCAGCCCCACGCATGTTAATACTTGGCCCAACAGGACAGTTATGATGGATCAAATGATTTTTCACGGTTCAACATAAAGGCTCAGTTTGGCGGCTCAAGATAGAGCGAATAACCTTAGGGTGCATAACTATGAGTAACCAAATCTTGTTCCTTCTTCTAAATGACTGCAGATCTAAGGGTGAAGAATTAAAGAAATTTATTTTTCATAGTTTTCTTAATCGGTTCATATCTTCTTCATTCTAATTCGAATTTTTTTTTTTTTTTTTTTTGCACAGATGGAACGAGTTCGTTGTGTTCTACAAAATGAGATGTATTTTCAATATTTTTTTAGAAAAGAATTGCATATCTCTCAGTACCAACTCCGTACCATATGGTATCTCCTTCGTTTTTTAGTCGTTTTCGAAAAAATTTGCACAGAAGGAACGATTTAATCATGATTCATTAGATTTCAAAAATTTCTGTGCGAAAAAATTTCATACCTCTTGTTACCAACTGCATACCATACTATACCACCCTGGTACGGGGTGGTATTTTTCATACCATATGGTATGTCCTTATTTAATACCAGTCAATACCACGTAATAATTGGCTCAAATTTTTTTGTTCAAAAAAATATCAAAGTGGATATCATTTTGAAGAGCATAATTAATCTGATCTAACTGTGCAAAAAAATTTAAATTCCGACTTAAAACGAGTGAGAAATCGTCCGTTAAAGATTAAAGGAAGAAAAATTAAAGGCTTTTTTATGAGAGAGAAGGGCGCTGATGTGACAGATTCTGATTGGATTATGTATATGATTATTGACCACAAGGTTATTGATAGGATCCGCTCCCCAGTTTAGCCCTAGTGTAAATTTTGCAGAAACAGCTTCTCGCTTAAGCTTTTAGAGAAGTACTTTTCAAAAAAAAAAGTTGAGTGTTTGGTTGAAAATTTATTTTAGGATAAATACAATATATTAGGCACAACTATTATGAAGCGGGTAATTATAGCTACACCTATGTAAATTCAAATTATTAGCCATAACTATTGTTGCTTGTCAAGATATAGCTAACTGTCTGTTACTATTATTGAATTTTTAACGGAGAAGGTCACGTCATCGGCCACGGCAGCAGCCACGTCAGACTGCTATTAATTTATAACTTTAAAACATAGAAGCTTAGTCAACATTACTAACGGAATTGTTAACAAAGAGTTAATGTTTGGCTAATAATTTGAATTTCCATAGTTGTGGTTATAATTCCCCGCTTCATAATAGTTGTGGCTAATATATTGTATTTACCCTTTATTTTAAGTGCTTTATAATATGAGAGGTTGTGTAAAATGACTATAAAGGACTTATAATATAAACTATGAATAATAATTCTAAACAATTCAAAATGGATCTTGTTAGACTTCTTTTATATTAAATAATATGATTTTATAATTTATTTTATTTTTAAAAATGATATAAATGAAATAAAATTATATTTTCTGAAATAAAATTAAAATATAGTAAGGATAATCTTGTATTTTCAAAACAGCTTTTCGCGGAAGCTCCAAATCGGAGCATTTGGAGCTTCTATTTTTATGTTATACAAAAGCAGGTGTTTGACCCTGCTTCATCTTTTGAAGCCGAAAATTACTTCTAAAATCTGGGCCAAACATAGGCAAAGTCAGATGAACCACCATGTTTTAACTCGTACACCGGTTCACTATTTTAATTAATTTTCTAAGAAATATTTTAACATAATCTAAGAACATCAAACCATAATTATTGATTTTACATATGCTTCCTCTTCCTATTCCAACCTTGTTGTCGACTTTACGTTGTCCACTACCGATTGACACCGTAATTTTTAATATGAATTAAAAAATATGATATTTTTTTTAGGTGGTTTGAATGATTTATTGTATATTTTGGTAACGATATGAATTTGAAATTATTTATGATCAATGATAACTTCATCCTTGAATTAGTGTAATATACAAGCCGTATAGGCTATATATCATGAACGGTTCTGTCAACGGTTCACTAACGGTTTTGTAACGGTTAACCACTGAACCCTTAAATCACTAATTTTTCCAGTTCAGTCTCCGATCCGGTTCTGAAACAGAGGTTTTTAGCCTCTCAAATTCGCACAGAAGAGGAGGGAAGGAGACTCAAAATCCCAAACGACGCAGCACAAAAAGCCAGCCTGCTGACCCGCTCTCTCGGTCAAACTGTCCGGGTTTGATGGACTTTATCGAGTTTGATCGTATTATCCAATCCGGGCGGATGCTTTATTGGGTTGCTGGCGCCCATTCTTGTGAGCAGATCCGAATCAAACCGTGTCAACCCGCGAATTGACAATCTTGCATAAATTGATCATTCTACTCACAAAGATATTCAATTTAAATATTTTCTTAAGCTATCAATCAAGTAACACTGCATCTCGTTTGATCCACTTGAATCAAGTAACGTACTAGCCACTAGGGGTGGGCACGAGGGTGGTTAATCCGCAGATTGATATCAATGCACCGGCAAATAACCCAACCCGCAAGCAGTGGCTGATTGATGTGGGTGGATTACGGATTGATAAATCTCCCACCCGAACTTATGTGGGTGGATTGCGGGTCAGCTGAATGACCCACCTCCTATTTTCACATGATTTTTGTTTTGTTTCTTATAGTATCAAATATTCATCATATTTCTGAACCGTACTACAGGCTGACCATATACTTCTAAAAGTCGAGAATAAAGAATAGTTTTGACTACTTTCATTGGTTACTATATTGTATTATATCCATAAGATATTGCATATTAAAATGCAGATTGTTGTTAATATCCATTAAATTTTATGACGAAAACTATAAATTATTAACGATATCAAGATCACAAAATGCGTAAGTTTCCTTTACACAATTGGTTCATAAGGTAGTAAATTTTTTAATGAAAATACTACATAAACTCACTTGAGACAAAGTGAGGAGTGTTTAAATTGATAGAGTCTTACTAATTTACTATGAACTTATTATAAATATTAGTCAACTTTTTTCATAGCTAGTTGAAGAATTGTTTTTGCGAGTTAACCACAAACCAACTACATCCATCCGCCGGGCACCCAACCCGACCCATATAAAAATGTGGGTAGATTGCGGGTCACAATTATTTCAACTTACTAGTAAGCGGGTCACAAAGGACACTTCACCGAAACGACTACCGTTTGGAAGGCAGGAATTTGCAGAGGAGAATACAGGCTACAGCGGCACGTTTCCTCTTCATTTCTTACTACTTCCCACTCCGACGATCCCTCGGTCACGGTTCCCTACTCGCTTCTCGGCTGAAGCGGATTCCGACATCGGTTGGACTGAAATTTGCAGAAACGGGAAGCGCGTCTTCCAGGAAGTCGTTCTCTTCATCAGTCACTTCATCGGCGGCGGATCGTCTCAGCCTTTCTGTCAATCTCTAAGAAAAAGCTTCTATTCTCCTGCTGCTGCTGCAGCAGCCGGCAGGCGACAATGCACGGCCGCCCTCGTAAGCCTCTGAAACTACAGGAAGCTTGCTGTTCAGCAGAATCTCCGACAGTGCGAATCGGATCCCGAATCTGTTAATTCGATTCTCAATGAAGAACTTAATGTGGTGTGTAATTTACTTGAAAAACCACTGGGAGTGGGATTGAAATTTCCTGTTATTATGTGTGAAACTGAAATTGGAATCCCCAAGCAATCTATGCTTGGTTTTCCTTTTTGGGTTCATTTTACCTTGTCTAGTGTTATGAGAATAGTATTTGTAGGTGGAGAATGCATTGAGGCAAAATTTCAAGTCGTATGGAGCTTGGCACCATAGGAAATGGGTGCTGGACAAAGGGCATTCCTCCATGGATAAGGAGTTAGGGCTTTTGGACAAGCTCCAAGCCATGGATGCACGGAATTTTCATGCTTGGAATTACCGCAGGTATATGCTTGGATGGTGGAGATTTTCCAGCTTCTATACCCCTCTTAGTGACACTGGACTCTTTCTGTTGATGTCTTTATTTAGATTTGTGGCAGCATTGATGAAACGATCGGACGAGGATGAACTAGAGCACACCGAAAATATGATTGACAAGAACCTCAGTAACTATTCTGCCTGGCACAATCGCAGGTAAGAGGACTGCTTTGGTGCGTGCACGAATTTCGTCTGTTATTTAATTGAGATTCGTTACTGTCTTGCTGACTACTCATGCAAGTCCAGTAAGTAAAGGCATATGCTGGTTAATGCTTAACTACTTGGTGATTCCAGAGACGTTTTATGTTAAAGATTGTTGTAGCCTTTTTTACTGCTTAAGCCTTAAAGGTGCTCTAGGTTCTCTGCAACACAGATATTGTGGCCTAAGCATTATCACAATACATAAACCAACAACAATCATAAATGGAAAACATGTTCCTTAGCCACAAGATAATGAGCTATTCGTTGTCAAATTCTATCTCTTAACTGTTGTGAACTTACTCAGAAACTACCCACTTCCCAATGTGTTTATACACTCATGAGCTGGTTTCTTGTTCAGTGACTTCCGTTTTTCGTTATAATGTGTTTGACTGCTATAGGCCCTTTGCTAGATGCTAACTCATTATTAATTTCATTTTCTTTGGAGGACAATTCGCAGTGTGCTTCTGTCAAATTTGATGAAGAAGGCGGCTCCAGGATTTACTAACAAAGAAGAGGTTTTAACAAGGGAGTATGAATTGGTATGTGAGGCTCTTTTCACTGATGAAGATGACCAAAGTGGCTGGTTCTATCATCTTTGGCTTCTTGATCAAACTGTCAGATCTGATTTCCCTCTGCTTGTCTCTTCATGGCCTGTCGAAGGTTCTGATATTTTCCTGCCAGCAGCTGATTGTCTGGATGGTTGTGCTTCTATGAATGTGTTCCATTACAGTTCCAGAAATTTTCCTCTCGTTCTTTACTTCAACCAATCTGTCGGAGGTGTAAACTCATCTACTGTCAGTGTTTCGTGTGGGTTTAACCTAAACGCTGATCTGATCTGGAAACCTCTTTCTTCGAATGACTCTCAATGTGCAAAAGTTTGGGCTACACGTTTAGCCATCCCTGATGCTGAGCTTCATTCTTCAGAACCTTACCAGGTGGAGGTTAAAGTTGGATATTCACTAGGAATTGTTTCAACTACTGGTGTAGCATATAGCCATCCTTCTCAGACTTCATTTCAACTGCACTTACAAAAGCCCCCACTTGAATCTGGACACGAGTCAAGGTTAGGGAAAATTCAGTGGAAAGATGATTGTTTTGCTGATTATGAATCTGGTTCTGCAGAACCTGATTTGGTTAACCTTCTTCTTGACAATCTAACAATCAAGAATGAGGTAGGGCCAACAGCTTCAACATGGCAAGCAAGAATCATTGATTACGAAACTAATATTTTTCGTGACTTATTGGACTGGTAATAAACTTGCATTATACTATGTTGGCCTCATTATTCTCTTTCGGGGGGGGAGTTAACTGAAAAATTGATAATGTGTTTTTTTTTCTCTTTCTTTTTGTAGCAAAATTGGGATGCTGACAGTGGCCAGGCTGTTGACTGCTTACGATTTGTTGAGACCTTTGGACAAACCAGTCCATTGTGAGGAAGTTTTAGAGCTATACAGTGAGCTAATGAAGTTGGACCCTACTCACTATAGATATTACAAAGATAACCACAGCTTGGTTTTATTGCAACAGGTTAGTTCTCATTCCTCTTTGACATTTATTTCTGTAAATGCAAATGAGAAAAAAGATGTTCATTAGTTCTCTTTGTCAAAAGAGATGCTTTGTGAATTTTACAATCTTTGATTGGTACGGAATTCGGAAATTGATCTACCAACAATTTCTGCAGGTGACATCTAGTAAGGAATCTTTGCTGAGTCATTGTTTTCACTATAGGGACTCAACTCTGTCAACCAGTGGGGGTCCCTTGTGTTTGCGACTAAACAACTTAGCAATTTCACAATTGGGATCTTTTGGGAAGTTGCTATGGGTTCAAGTGTTAGACCTCAGCAACAATGGACTTCAATCGATTGAAGGTAAACTATTTTGTTTCTTCCCATCGAGACTTATCAACAGGTTCCTTCTATCTAAATATATCGATCCGCCTCTAGTCTCTAATCTAATCTATTAACTTTCCTACTCAAACTCATAGCAATTTTTTTCTTCTTCTTATACCTATCTGTTATTGTTGAGGTGCTTTCTCTCATGTGTTTAATCTTACCACAGGATTGGAGGCTCTGCAACGTCTCTCACAATTGTGTTTGAGGAACAACAAATTCAGGAGTTTTACTGCTTTGGAGTCTCTGAGATATTTGAAGTCACTGAAAGTGTTGGATATTTCGCAAAACGAAATAGGTTCTCATTCCATCGACACCACTAGATATCTATTCCGTTCTCCATTGTCCCATTCAATGGGAAGTTGTGATGGGAATATCAATGATCTCAGTTCAAAAGCCTACTGGGAAGCTTTTTTCGTTCTCAAAGACATGGGGCTGACTCAGTTGGACATGGCTGGGAATGCAATCGCTAGTGGAAGTTTTAATGTGTTCCTGGAAAAGCTCCTGCCCACTCTCAAGTGGCTGGATGGTGTACAAGTAAACTAATTTTCATCATGGTGGGAGATCTCAGGCGGAAGCAGGTAAAAAGCCTAAAATACTGCTGTTGCTGCTTCTCTGTAATTACCATGCATTTCCTGTTTCCAAGTTGACGTTGCATTCTGACCCATAATTCACACAGGTGAGCAAGTTTACTTGCCGAGGTGAATATTAACTAGACTGATGTGGCGGGATGAGGAGCAAGCTTCAGCGGCTAGTGCTACAGGTATAAGGACTCTCTGTTAAGAACTAGGTATGAGGTCATTAAGAAGCTTGACTGACTTCCATCCAGTGGTATAGCCTGCATTAGGAAGATGGAATCATCCAATACATAGGGTTGATAGACTTTTATGCTATTCGTTGATTTTCTTACACTTCGATGATATGATATATGATGGAACATCTTGCCCTAGTCATTGGTCTCTTGAGTCTTGACTTTCACAGTTGCACCCCCGCCAGGATTCCAGGAGTCAAGTACGAAGGCTTTCTTTTGGGTTGAAAACTGCTACATGATTGCCCGACTTTTTTGTTGCTTGGTTAGGGGACTTATGTGCTAGAAGCTATCATGTTTCATAATCCGCTCGCGTCAGATACGACCAGCCAGCATGGTCGATACGATACGAGCCACCTTCAACGGCTCGCAAGAAGGAACAGATCGTGCTGGCTGGTCCTATTAACTCTCGAATTCATTTCCGGGCAGTCATGATAACATCAGATTACTAAGCTAAACATTCCAAATTGTAATCATAATAATGCCAGCACTGGAACCTTACAGGGTCTTATTAAATATGCCTACAACCAGCCTACATTGGGCATTCATGCTAGTCTATCTACATCTACCCAATAAAAATGAGAAAATTTGAAGTCCCATTTCAAATTTCCTAGATCCATAGTGAGATTTGAACCTTGATCTTTTCGAACAAAGATAAGAAACATAACCAGTTACAATAAAATATTTGTGTGATCTTTTTAAATTAAAAACAGAAAGTTTAAATCTAAAAAATCATAAGATTTTTCCACCACGGTTAGCAAGCGAAATGTCATTGATTCAAATATTCCATATCGAATTGCACTCTTGAATGTGTAGAAGCGATGTAGAAATTTTAACATAGACTTAGATGTTATAACTACCATAAAGTAACAATATTTTTAAACATAAGACTTTTAAGTGAATATGGGCACATGTGTCTTTAAAAGAGGGGTAAATATGGAAAGTAGGAATGGCAATAGGGCAGGTCCGGGGCGGGTTTCTCGATACCCATACCCGCCCCGATGGCAGGTCAGGTAATTTATCACGGGGCGCGGGTCGGGGCAGGTCGACCTAATGGGTACGTAATTTATGCGAAAAACTATCCGTTATTTTCACTAGGAGACAAAAAAACCATAATATGATTAAATGTAGTTGAAGTATTTAAGAAATTGATGTTTTCACTTATTTACAACTTTAATATAGATAAAATATAATGTAATAAAAGGAAAATCCTAAGTAATTTTACTAAGTTTACATGTAATTTAGGCAAGAACGGGTCGAGAATGGGGCGGGTCAGGGCAGGTCGGGTCGATGAGAGGTACCCATGCCCGCCCCGTCTACAGGGCGGGTCCGACCTGCCCAAAATAGGGCAAACAGGTTGGGTAAATCGGGTCAGGTCGAAATTGCCATCCCTAATGGAAATGTTGAGTGATGTTGGTTTGCCGAACGCGGATATAAAAGACACTACTAATGTAAACAGACCAAAATAGTGTCGCGACCCACTAAATGCTCAACCATCGTCGTCTATCCAAACTTCCCATCAGACTCAACAACCGGCTAACCTCCTCTACCTCTATTACTATGCCATAGCAATTTTTGGCTGGGTAAATATGGAAATATTTAGTGTTGTTGGTTTGACCAATGCGAATGCAAAATGTGCTACTAATGTAAACGTGCCCAGATAGTGTTCGACCCATTAAACGCTCAACCACCCGGGTTACTTTCGCTACACTTAGTATAATAGTGAAATAGGAAAGGTGCTTCTCCCACTACAAAATTCGTGCATCCATAGCAAAAGTAGGAAGAGTATATTCGTCTTCACAGTCATTTATTATTTTCTTATTTACAGAAAAAATACATAAGTGATGGGATTTGAATTGTGATATCTTTATATGTAAATTTACACAAAATTTATGTGTAAGAGCTGAGATTATTGTTGAATTGAACTATTCAAACTGTAATGTTAATCTTCATTGAACTATTCAAGCTATAATGATGATCTTCAACATATAAAACATGGTTTCTTTTGAGTGAAATAACCTCATGATTGCAGATAGGTTTTTACAATATGATGTTTCGTGATAGTGGTCACTTACTTTCAGATTTAAAAGTGGAGTTCTAATTAATATAATATAAAAAGCACAAGTGATAGCGATATTTGGAGCAGATACAAGATGGTTTGATATCCTTCTCTCTACAAGAAATAAATACATGGTGAACATATGTTGTCATGGGAAGGACCAACTGAACTCTTTGTGTTTGTAGTATAGCATGTTGATATATATGCATGTCTAGACCCGATCGATTGGACATATCCACTTGGAATTTATTGACGGGATTTTTGCTCATCAAAACTGCGTGCCAAGTAAGCTCACTCCTTAATCCTTGTTTTTTTCTTAATCTACACATGCACACCCTCATAGGAAACATGTACATAATTGTAATTTAGGTGGTTCATTAGTGTTGTTTCCATAAGATTTTATTATATGAGGTGGTTGTTCTAGAATTGTGAATCGTGATTGTATCTACGGTAAGAAATTGTCAAGTTGAACTATAAAAGAGGCTAACCTGAACTTCCTCTTTAATTTAGATGGTAAGAGAGCAATGACCCACGTCAAATTGATTGGGAGTTGACAATGCCTGAGAAACGATTTAGCCTTCTTCAGAGTATCACAAGATCCTGATAGTATCTCAACCAAAACAATTTTTATTACCATACCTGATGTTGATACAAGTTGTTTACCTAGAAGAGAGCCCCAACAAGTTAGCTCTTGGAGTTGTGATGCGAAAACGGGTAAGGCATAAATGGTTAATACAAACGGCCATACTATGATCATATAGAATGTCTTGTTACTCTAAATTTTACAAGGCTATTATAATGATCATTCTTTTCATTTCATGTAAATTTGTATTATGACCGAAGTGATGTTACCCCAAGCCATAAATTGCAGCAAGGAAAGGTTGTTTGAATTAATGTGCACTTATGTAAAATGTCATGTAGCTGCCATGAAGAACTAGTAAAAGTGGATCAATCAGTGTGTTTGCTGTCGACAAGGATAATAATTGTGATAATGGGGATGGTTCATGAAGATTGACATATACAAATTGAAGTGATAGAAAGTACAGAGCTACAAGACATTTCTTTGTTTAGTGTAGCATAGTGGTTAGGAGTGATTTGGTAGGATTTCACAGTGGTAGGGATATTGACAAAAGTCGTTATGTGTTGGTGCTTCCACGCATATATTGCCTGCCTGTTTCTTTTGTTTGTATATGAGATTTCTATAGCAGATTGCATGCTTTGTATTTTTTCTGCCATTTTAATTAACAATTATATATCAGAAAAAACTGGCTGACACATTCCATCGACTTAATTTGGACATTGCTGGTTCTCAGTCAATGATTCATCGCCTTTGGTGTCACTGTGATAAGCTAGTTTACAATGTAAGAGTGAAACTGCCAAATTGGGAATTTATCTCAGAATCTTCCTATATAAAAAAAAGTTATTTGTTTATTTATTTTTCCTCCATCATGGTACTTTTTTTTATACAATAAACCTGCTTTTTATTCAATAATCAAACCATCCTTCTCTAATAGATATAGGAGAAAAATAGGAGGCCTAAGAGCCCAAGTTTCAGTAGTATCCCAATTACAAGTGGAGTGGGCCATTACGTGGGCTGGTTCATTACCCGTTCTCTTCGTGAAGTTCCAACAAACCTAGCCCATAGAACTCGCCCGGTTCTTCAGCTCTCAGGCAACCAAACCCACCTCTAACCTCGAGTGTACCCCCCCCCCCCCCCCTTCAGTTTCTGAATGGCTGTTTGACAGTCACTCCCCATTATGCTGGTGAGAAGCCATACATTTTCCACCATCTGCAACCCAAATTCAATCGCCCGGAGTTTCAGAGATCTCCGGTTGCCATTGGTTTCGCTCCCTTCTTACCGCCGCCAGCAAAAATTTCTCGGTCTCGTCGCGAACTACAAGCCCCAGCCCCGTGCCTCCCCCACCCCCCAGCACCGCTCCATCAGCATTCAACTTCACCCATCCCTTCGGCGGCTTCTCCCAGGTACAACTCCCAACCGATTCCGCTTCTTGTTCCTTCGTGTGGAGTGATTTGTATTCCGCCAAGTAATCCAAAGCCTTCCCCATAATCTCCCACTCTTCCGCCTTGTGTTGTTAAACATCTGATTGTTCCTTTCGTTCCAGATCGACCATAGAATCAAACCCAATTTTTCCAGCGTTTCATTGTCAACCTTATCCATTACCTCGCAAAGCCAGCTTCCCGATGACAGGTTAGGCTCCATCTCGAATATATCTCCGAAAGATGTAGGCCTCCAAATATGGGTTGCCCATTGACACTCTCTAAAAATATGGTTCTGGCTTTCTTCAAGATCGCAAAACGGAAATTCCGTTGCATCCATCCACACTCTCGTCTGGCTTTCCACACTCTCGTCTGTGTTGTATCCATCCACCTTCTCGCTAATCGGTATGGGAGCACTTGTCTTGAATCTTTTCTTTGCTATCAAGGTATAAGATGATTTCAGAGTGTAGTCACCCTTCTTTTCAGCACTCCATACCAAGTCGTCCTTCGCTGGCTGCCTGGGAATAGGAATTGCTGCAATCCGCACTTTATCCTCTAGATTGAAGCTGGTTTGGAGCATATTCCACCTTTAAACCCTCTGCTCATGGTCGATTAAATCCATTACCCTAGTTAACCCCCTGCTTGAGGTTTTGGGGAAGTAACTCGATAGTCATTGTCTTCAGCCCCTGCGACCCATCTGTCTGACCATATATTAATCTCGGAGCCATTTCCTACTCTCCATCAAATCCCATCCTTGACCATTTGTTGTGCAGCCATGATACTTCGCCAAGTGTAACTAGGATTGTTCCCTAGTTTAGCTTGTAGGACATCAGCGTTAGGAAAGTACTTAGCTTTCAACAACCTAGCTTCTAAGGATTTTGGATTGTTCAATAGGTTCCATAATTGCTTCCCTAGCAGGGTAATGTTGAAAGTGAATTAACTTTCGAAAGCCCATGCCCCTTCCTCCTTTGGTTGACATAGATTATGCATGTCCTCTAGGGAATCCTTCTTTCTTCTTTTTGTTGACCCCACCAAAAGCTAGAAATGGCCTTTCTCAATTCTTCTATCACGTTGTCTGCTATCAGAAAAAGTGACATGGAAAATGTTGCCTGGGATTGAGCTACTGATTTTATAAGAACTTCCTTTGTTGTTATATATAGATAGAGTTTGAATTCCTCCGATCGATGACCATTAACTAGGATTTGATAGGAAACTGTAGATATACAGTGCATGATGATCTTCACCCATCTTTCAGCAAAGCCTAATCATACCATCATAGCTTCTAGGAAATCCCACTCCACCCTATCATAAGCCTTGGAGATATCCAATTTAGCAGCCATAAAACCTTTCTTTGCTTGGGTCTTTTGCTTCATAGGGTGAAAACACTTGAAAGCCACTAGAATATTATTTGTAATATACCTTCCTGGGGCGAATGCACTATGTTGTTCCCCAGTGACTGAGTTGAGCACTCATTTAAGTCTATTTGCTAGTACTTTAGATAGGATCTTATAGAGTACATTGCAAAGACTTATGGGTCTGAATTCCAGGGGAGTGGCAGGTTTATTGTTCTTTGGTATAAGCGTTATAAGGGTCTTGTTCAGCTGCATAGGAAACTCCCCGAGCTCTAGGTACGCACGTAATTCACTCAGGACAATAGTCCCAAGAGCATTCCAGTGTTTCTGAAAGAACCTAGCTGACATCCCATCTGGTCCTGGAGCCTTGTTGGGTCCCATCTTCTTCAAAGCCATCATTATTTCTTCCTCTGTAAAGGGTTCCGGAAGGGATTGATTCACTTATGTTGTTACTCTGGGAGTAACCAAATGTAGAATCTTGATCCCCTCCCTTCTTCTTCCCTTTGCGAATAAACCTTTCATGTAGCTAACCAAACAGTTGGTCACCTCTTGCTGGCCTATAAATATTTGGCCAGTTTCATCTTGTAATCTCCTAATTGTATTCCTCCTCCTTCTTTTTGAGACTTTCCTATGGAAGTACCCCGTATTTAGATCCCCTTCCTTCAACCAATCTGCTCTAGATCTCTGCTTCCATTTCAATTCCTCTTGGAGAATTATATCATTAAGTTCCTACTCAAGTATTCTCCTGTACTGCAGCATTACTTTTGTTCTTTTCCTTTTGCAGGGCCTGCAGGGCCTTTTCTGCTCTCTTCCTCCTTTGTTTCAGCAAACCAAATGCTTCCTTACTCCAGGATAAAAGTTTATCCTCACAGTTTTTGATTCGTGCCATGGAACCTACTTCCCCTTGCTGGTCCCAAGCTTCTTCAACGATTTTGGCACAATCTCCGTGCCTCTCCCAGCAGGGCTCATACCGAAAAGAGCATCCCAGGTAATTTCCTCTTCTTTCATATTCAGTTTCATTTGTATAGGTATATGGTATGATCCACACCTCTCTAGATGGTATACACGCATGTTAGGATAGCACTCCTGCCACTCTTGATTTCCCACTACTCTATCCAGTCTTTCCTCAGCATAATCTTGGCCTGCTCGATTATTTTACCAACTGAAAGTCCTGTCATAGTAGCCACAATCTTCCAAATTGCAATGATCCAAAGTGTCTTGAAACATTTCCATCTCTCTTGCATCTGGTTCACGATTTCCACTTTTTTTCTAAATAGTCTGTAATGAGGTTGAAATCCCCCATTATCAGCCAGAGTAGCTGGACTTGCTGGTGTAACCTCTCAAGTAATTCACAAGTTCTCCTTTTATTGAATGCTTCAGGCCATCCATATACTCCTGTGAACCTCCATTCTGTTATGTTGTAGGCATTTTGATCTTAGCATCATTAAGATGGAGGTATCGACCCTTGACCTCAAAAGATACATCTTCTTTCCACATCAACAGAAGCCCTCCCGCCTGTTTCCCCTAGCCGCCACTCCTTTTCCATCAAAATACCCAAACTCTTTAATTTTCCTTTTCCATTTGTCATCATATTGCTTTGTCTCCGTGAACACATCGAGATTTGTTTGACGTAATAATGTCTTAACTTTTTCAACTGCCGGGGTATTCCCGAGACCTCGGCAGTTGTAGCTCAAAAGACTCATTGAGTTGGGTAGCTCTGCTCCCTGGCAGAGTCTGCCACTTCACCATCCTTTTTGTTTTTGGTGATATCTGCTTGTGCATCCTCATCTGGTGTTCAGAAACTCAAAATTTTGGCTTTCTTTGCTTGCATGTCCTTGCCATTACCCTGAGTTCCATCTTCCCCGCCATTTTGTGCAGTTCTTTTCTGTGGCGTCACTTGGGGAGGATCAGATACAGGTACACGCTGTTTGGTCTGTTCCTTCCTTCGCCAGACATTGTTCTTTTGCTTTCGTCCTGTTTCATTGAAATATGCTCCAATCACGAATTGATTTAGTGCTCCTCCAATCCCGAGATGTCCCAAAGGTGGATTTGGATAAGGCAGTTTGCTTCTTATTTCTTTCACTTGTGGTGTGTCTCCCTTCTTTTATCTATTTCAAACAGGTTTGTTTCTATGTTATTTCTCCAATCATCCTCCTTTTCACTATCAATCTTGCGTGAAATATGTTCTTTTTTTGCCACTTCCTCCGCTAGTGGTATTTCATAATTAGAATTTGATCATGTGCTCTCCCAATCAAATTTCTTTCTCAGTGATGCCCATATTTCTCCATCCTCTTTTTTCAGTGAGTGAGACAACCAGTTCCTGGGTCCTGGCGCCCCAGCTCTCAATTCCATTCCAAATGGATTCGGCTCCACTCTAGAGGGTTTAGGGTTGCGCAGCTTTGGATGGCCAATTCGACCATAAGAGTAGCAAAAAATAGGTAGCTTCTCGTACTTGACCATGTATTCCACCAACTTCCCTTTTATATTGAGCTTGATCTTCTTCTTCAGAGAGTTATGAATAGATAAGCTCACCCTTAGACGCATATAGGAGTCCCACATTGACCTAGGACTGTCATCAAACCAGACTAGAGATCCAAACCTATTAGCAATTTTCTCCGCCATTATCTTTGTTCTGAGCTCCACCGAGAATTCTTTGACATGAATCCACATATCTAGCATATGTAGTGCTTCAGGGACTGGTTTTTTAATCAACAAGCTTGCCATGAACACCATAGCATTGCTTTCATAATGCCAAGGGCCTCTGAAACAAACCCTATCTCGATCATCCACGTCCAGAAACTGAAACGCAAAGAACATGTGATAAACCCAGTATTCAACCGACATCATGCAACCGTCACAAACCATTTTTAGGTGATCATAAGGAGAAAAATGATAAAATCATCTAAATGTGTAAGTTAATGGTGTTGGTATCTACTATTGGTTAAAACATTGGGTTTGGGCGCTCTTCCCTCCAAAACAACCCATCAAACCAAATTACACCCATATAATGGTTTCTTAAAGCTAAACCCACGTGGATGGCAATTTCTATTTGCTTCCCTCCAACCAAATGATGGATTAACACATCATCACCTGCCATTTTCCATGTGTACGAATTATTACGAGTAATTAGTTGATGGATGGTAATGGAACCTTGTACTATTCCTCACTCAATGCACCAATCATCAAACTTATCCAACCCTTTTAACTTGGATAAGAGTTGGAGAAAGATGGATGAGTCAACACCAACGTGGCCTTAGGAAAAAATGAGGCGGGAATTCTACCACCTACCATTTACCACACACATGAATTAAAAGGGTCAAAACATTTCCCTCACTCCACGTTGAGCTCATGGGTTGCTAGTGTTAGGTTGAGAAACTTCTAAATCAGACACAAATAGGCCTTATCCATCCCTCCAAATTACACCTGTAGATAAGGAGGATAAATAAGTATGGTAATAGCTAAAATAACCCTCTACCTGTCTCCATTTACATGGACATGAGGAGCAAGCCAGCAATCTTAAATGGGGTGAATGACAACCTTTGCCCACAAATAAAGACTCCAACGTCACTTTGATTACACGTGGGTATAGGCTAACCTAGTCATAAGCCTAGTCCCCTCTAATTAACCCCCCACTCGACAGCTTTGTCCATTACATGCACGTAGTAGCAAGAGGCTGTATGTGTTCCATCAACCAATTATATCACCAAATTGGTTATGTTACTTTCCTTTTGTAATTACACATGAAGAAATGGAAAGAATACACCATCACATACATGATAAGCTTACATAAATGCTTGAGGTGGTAACTCCAGCAACTTACCCCACTTTGTTGGTTTGGCTAACACGTAGCAAAGGTGGGATGATAGAAATTAGTGTTCTCAAGCCAACCATTGCACATTAGGTTGGTTGAGAGATACAATTAATGTTATTTTATTCTTAGCATGTCATCCATGCCAGAAGCAGGAGACGCCTATAAATAGGACGCTCATTTATGCTTTCTCGGCAGTTCATAGGGAATTGAACTTCTGAATCTCTCTCTAGATCTGGCTTACTATGCCGCTCCCGGTTACTCTCCTCTAAAATACCGACTTGAGCTCCTCGAACCTTGGCATCAACAACATGTCTCCCAGAACAGTTACCCGGATTCCATGCTTTTGCTAAGGCAATTTTGAGTGACTTTATATTTGGTTGTTTTTCAACTACTAGACGCTCTATCAAGCCCAGCCGGTGTACTGCCTACATACGAAACACATCAACATCCCCATCATCCACCTCCAGAGGGGTATCGTCCTCATCTTCCAACGTCATGTGATCGAGTTGAACTTTCAGACCCGCAGTACTTTGGAGCTCTGTTGGCTCCATAGCAGGCTCCTCTATCTCCATGATTGTTGGTGCCTGCTTTCTCATTTATCAGATGCTTGTGAAATTGCGATTCAATTCGGTCAGACACTTAGGTTGTCAGCAGGAAAAGAGTCATGTCAAGCTGAAAACCTAAACGCGGCTTCACCGATGGTCTAGAAAACCTTAAGGTTTAAGGCTTTATAGACTACGCAATATCAATTGAGACCTCGTCCTTAGCAGGAAAGGATTCCTTACTCACACGTGATACGTCGTCCACACTGAGATCATACGCCGCCTAAAAAACACCACTTAGAAAACCTTACTTTCATTTCTGTTTCCTGTTTTTTAGAAAACAGATGTTGAAAACATGTGAAAACAACATTTTGTTGTTTCCAAAAATAGCAGGAAGTTGCCACTTTCTGTTTTCATAGTTGGAAACGAATAAAAAATAGAATGAAAAGTAAACAAGTTTTCTCGTTTCGATTGCCAAATTTATGACATGAAAACAGAAAACAGGAAACGAAAATGAAAGTGAACAGACGCTAGGGGTTTCGCCGCTCAACCGGCTCTCGCTTGACGAGAGAATTTCCCATCATGGTACTAATGTGGGCTTATCCTGTGAAAATAATGCTGCTGGGCTTATGGGCCCAAACGTCGGACGAATAATGATTAGGCGCGCGCAAAATCCAATTTTTAAAGCTCTCTATTTTCTACAAGTTTCTATTTCTGGTTTTCGCACTCTAGAAAACCTCTCGACTTCCTTTTCCGGTTTCCGTCTCGCCGCAGTCGTTTCCACTTCCCAACACTCTTTACCTTCAGCCGAATATCGTTTACTTCCCGTCGGAAGAATATGTAACCTATAGATCGGAGAACTCGATCTGTAATCATCGCCATGGAAGCAGAATCTCCGGAGTTGGTACTCACAATCTCAGAGTTGGTTAGCCGTGGCCGAGCCTTCACCGCCGCGTCGTCTCTAGGGTCCTTTCCCGCCGGCGCTTCGGTCAGTCATTCGTCTTCGGTAGGTAAATTGGATGACGAAAATCCACGTCCTAAGCCGCCGCCGCCGCCGCCGCCGCCGAGGAAGCCATTCCCGAATCCAACCGGTACAAACCCTAGCCCTAGAGTCCTTGAACCTCTGAACCGTGCCGCGATTTTGATAGGGACCATAACTCTTCCTCCCGAGAGTTTACATTGTCCGCACAGGAGTTGCTTTCAGTTCTCTGATGATTCCTCTGCTAGCGTTTGCTGTGACGTTCTTGACTTTCGGGTACAGTTAGTCGGAAGGAGAATTCGCGTCCTCGCTTGGAATTTTCTCCCTCTTAGGCATGGAAACGGTGGATTTTTGGAGATTGTCAGGTGGGATTTCCTGGAATCCGGCTGTGTCCTCTCCCGATGTACAAATGTAGATCCGATTCCGCTTATTTCTTCTTTGCCTTCTGCTGCTCCTCCTCCTCCTCCTCCCCCTCAAGAAGGGAAATCGAAGGCTTGTTATAGTATCCATGGCCCAGTAGAATCAGTAAGCCCTGTTTCTGATGTTCCTTGCTCAACCGGGACACTGAAGGCGCAGAAGCTCCGTGGCTTTATTGCTCGGATTATGGTTTGTCTGTGTCAGTTATGTAGTGGTAAAGAAGGCACTAAAGTTCTGCAAAATGTAGCTAAGAAAGAAGATCATCGCTTTACAGAAGCCAAGTTTGTATATTTTGTTGGTGCTTCTTCTTGTTGGCATCCGGTGATCATGAAGCTTGTAGGGAGTGTTATCATGTTATCAGGGCTGAAGAAGAAGTTGGTTTTCATTGGCGAAAAGGAGTCTCAATTGATGTTTGTGACCACTGAAAACTCCACTCTGCAATTGCCAAAGTTGTATAGGAAATGCTTATTGTTTCCGGAAACCTCTATCAAGGGTAGAGGGGAACGTGGTGTTTACTCCGGCATTATCAGAGGAATCTATATGCAAGGGATGGTTATGGAGCTGGATAAAGAAGTTTGGCTCTTGCTGACCGATCATTTCCTTACCTTGCCTCACAGCCTTAGAGTTGGCGCAGTTGTAAGAAAAATTCTCTTCCAGACCATTTTCTAGAGTGTTTGTATATAGCTTTAGGTTATGTATTTGTCTGATACACCTGCAGTTTATTGTAGATTTCCGTGAAGAATGCTCACTTTGTAAATCCAAAATTTCATTGGACCAAAATGCTGATACTTGGAACATGCATCAAATCTAACATATCTGTGGAGTCATTCTCGCCCTTGGATACCAGGTTAAAGCTGTTTATTCCATTGCCCTTTATGTTAAACCTTCTTCCAACCTTCCCAGAGGCCAGTAATTCTGTGGAGAATGATTGCATAATTGTCAAAGATGGTTCAAAGTTATGATTAATTCACTGTTTATCCTGACCTGGTTAAGCAGTCATCGTATAATAAGTTATTAATTATACTCCGTAAATCATCTGGTTGGTTATTCAATTTCCTCAAATTGTTTTAATGTTAGTGCACTTGATGTTTACAGAATTGTTTATTGTATGGCACAGATGCCTTATGGTATCCCAATCACAGAGCCAGCTGGGAATTTTCATCGAGGCCTTGAGATTTTCTGTCAAGCTATGGTATGAAGTATGAATGTCCTTAGTGATCCCCTATGATTGGAAATATGTAATACCTTGTTTGATTTTCTAACTTTTTAGTTGGATGTAGGGCACTTGTCACTGTTGCTTGTTTCCAGAAAAAGTTTGCTGGAACTTTATCCGAGAAGGAGATAGTGGGATCCAAAAATGTAATATTCTTGCTACAGATCGTCCTAGTTTGTAGGCATTCAATATTCTGCTTATTTGATTTGAAGCCAATTTTTCTCATGTACGTGATTATTTTGTTACGGCTGATTTTGTATCTTGTGGTACTTATAGAGGAAAGGACTGGTGCAGATGTTTATCAGCAGACAACTATCGCCTTTAGGGGTTCGAGCTCTGGTAAATGGGTAATCTACAATTAGATGAGCCGATTCAAGTGAATCCACTTATATTTGCTCGGCATTTGTTTAACTTATGTTGGGATCTTGGGTCGAGACAGGTGATATTTAGTAGGTAAATTAATGCCTCAAATCGAACTTTTTTGTTGGCAGCATGGAGTGTTTTCTGAGTTATGCACACATTGTGCAAATGGGTGTGGTAGCCAGCCATACATTGAAAACCTTAAATTGGTCAGTCTTCATACTACCTACTTGAAAATATGTTTTCACAGCTGCTTTATTCATCGGAGTCCTCGCCGTTGTCTTTGCCGTCGCTGGTTTTCCTAATCAAGCAAAATAGTTTTCTGTTATGTTATTTCAGGTGGTGCCAATATCTATTTTACTTCATAATTGTGAGGTCTTATGGACTGAATCACAGTTTCAGCTGGAGAACAACCACCATACTTCCTCGGGCAGTTCTCATTCGAGCTTATTTCCAGATCAAATGCCATCATGTCAGCCATTGAGGAGGGTCTTTTCAAGTGAAGAGATAGGCTTTTTCTTGCTTGGAAATCTGAAGGTTGGTGTGGTGATCTAATTTTGGTTACTATTTCTGTTTTTCTATCTCTGGAAGAAGGTAAGTCTGAAAAACGAGTGTATATATGAAGTCTATGGGACCTTGTCGGAGGAAAGTTGTAGCAGAATGTTCTGTTCCATGAGTGACGGGCTTTGCGGGATACATGTCGATGCATTAATAAATGAAAAAGGACTGTTCAATGCCAAAGTGAGTACATGGATATTGTTGGCATGGCTTCTTGGTTTCTACATTAGCTTTTAAACTTAGTAATTTGCTGGATTGCTTCAATTGTAGCAGTCTGCTGTATCCCCATAAGTTGTCACCATTTTTTGATACTTGTCTCGAATTCTTATGGTTGTTATCGTTGATGTATCTGTTATGTGTTTCATTTAGATGAATCAGGAAACTCATACATTCATTTGATTGTAGGTAATAAATGTTTTTTCTTCTCCCAGATTTCTTCTGCTTCTGGAAGGCTACAGTTAGTAGATGCCACTGGCAGCATTGATGCCATAGTGCCAGACCTTCCATCAACTTGGAACATCAACACTATCTATAAGGTTACGGAGAATTCCCATGTTTTGGAGTTCTCTCTTTTAATAGTTTAAGAAGCATATGTTACAGAAGATAGGGTCTAAACTGTCTTGTCTTTTGTGCAGGTTGTAAACTTTAGTATTATCGTCGAGGGCAAGCCGAATTCGCCATGTCAATCAGAGTTGCTTCACCATCGTTCTATCTCTTGCAGACATATATTTCACTTAACACCTTCAGCTAGAGAAACAAACTTGTCGGTTTATGCTTATTTCTGCTTAAGGAATGCTGGATGTCAAAATGGCCCCTTCTATCATTCTTTGTGCAGCAGTGATAGTAGCAAGGAGCTCCAAAGTGGAAATTTCCATGTACTATTAGTCACACATAAGTATCCTCTTGTACAAAAGGTATGTTTATCTGAATGCCTTTTCCCTAGAAAGAGGCAAGCCTTTATTGTTAGCCATTGTTCATGACCATCATATACGTAAGTAGACAACCAAAAGAAATAGAGGTGGTATGTTTGCTTTATGAGTTAGGAATCGTGTTTTCATTTGCAGTTTCAAGGTGTCCCAGTTATATCAGATGGGTGTACTGCATTCGCTGAGGCCATTGTCTTGTCTTGGGAGCTGTTTCTTTCTGGTAAAGATGGAAATAGACATTCAAGTAAGCTTTCAAACAATGAAATGAATGCTTGCTCACAACATGGCGGTTATCCCAATAAGAAGTGTAAATCTGATGCAACATCAGGCCACTCAGATGTTTCACTACCAACAAATAACCCAAGATATTTTGGCAATGAACAGAATTGTTATTCTTCTTCTGTCAGTGATTCCACCAACTCAACATGTAGCAATCTTATTTCTCCTGAGATTTTTTGTTCTGCCACTATAAGAACTGCCAGTAGTGACAACTTGGATGTCTTGGGGAAGTTCTGCACACAATGTAATATGAAGAATAGGGTTAACCATGAGCCAAGAACACAGAAGATGCTGCTGGAATTTGATTCGACAAATAATTTCAAGTATCAGGTGTGCTAAATCTCCTTTGTTTTTGGTGCTAATCAAATTTAAGCTTCGCCACTACCTGTATTCATTGTTTTTCAAAATTCCAGTTGTTGCAGATTGGTGTATTTTACATCATAAAACATCATGCAGAAGACTGTCTGTGTGCTAGTAAGGGGTGTAACAAGTTTAGCAGTGGTAAGGTTCTTGTTAATTCCAACATACATCTATGGAGCCTTTCTTTCTCTGCTGATGAGGGTTTCCCAAATAATAAACTATCAAAGTATCCCTCCCCGAGGGATGGGACTTCCTGCAATGGGGACAGCCAGGTGGGAGATGACATTGAGCTACTTCTGCGGAATAAAACGTTCAGTTCTCCTGAAATTTGTGCAGATGTTTGTCTTTATCTTCCTGCCAGTGTAATATGTGTATTGGAGGCAAAGCATAAAGATAGCATCGGACTTCTTTCTTTGCCTTTTGATAAGGACGAGAATCTTGGTGATATGAGTGGCATATTTCATGTGGGACGATTAATATCTATAAGTGGATGTGTGATATCCATCCACGGTTTGGATTGCGATTGTCCACATCTTAATTCAGGGAATGAAATGACAGATGGTATTCCTCAAGCAAGAGCTTTTCAGGGGATTAAAAGTTCTGTTCATATGCTGGTTTTGGTGGATGATCAAATGGTAATTAGCTTACTGAATTTTGGGTGACAGCGGGGCATTGGTCATATATCCAGGTAGGAAGCACACTTACCGTTTGAAGTTCTATATTTTCGCAGGTGTGCATTATTGGATCAGTAAGCAGACAATCATATCCTGTTGGATTTGGCCCAGGTGTCACTGCATCCTTTTATCGGGTTCTAAAATCGAGGTATCAATGAGGTTCTTTAGCACCAATATTAACTGGTTAACATTCAGGACTTCCCTTGTTGTGTCAATTGTAGTAAATCTTTATCCTCATAAATTTATTTTTGCAGGGGATCCAATAGATTGATGCTCACACCTGTTTCATTTATAGTAGTCAACTCTATTAGGGTTGCACCTGAATTAGATGCTGATAAAGCTGCCAACAACACTTTGGTAACGAAGGCATTTACTGTTGATGAATCTGCCAGCAACCCTTTGGTAACGAAGAATTTTTCTACTTCATCTTTGAATAATGTTACCTTTGGAATGCTGTCAGAGCTCCATCAGTTACTAGATAGCAAGCCCATGCGATTCAATTGCAGGGTAAGTTATACCTTATCTGTTAGACCTAAATACATGCATCTTATTGTTTATGATTGATGTCTTCCTATCTGAAAATGCTCTTTCGATATCATTGACATGATCTTTTGACGTGTGTAGGTAGTTAGCATCCATGTTTTGGTCCTAGAGAAGAGAAGGAAACGTGAAAGTCTAAACCCAAATGTTCACTCAGTGGCACACTTTCTGGACATTCCTCTAGCGGGATTTCTTCTGGGTAACCTTTTCTCTGTGATATGAAATACATAATAACAATGTTTAGGTTATGGATAAGCCGCACCGCTAGCTTTCTGATTTTGATTTCTTTAATATTCAGGCACTGATCTTCTAGCAGATGCTGGTTTTTAGTTTACATTTTTTAGGTCGCGTTTTAATGGTCTGAAAACCTTCATCAACCAGTCAGCTAAATCAATATGAAGGTCCCGCTTTCTGGCTATCTGATTATTTTTATTCTTTGTGATTGATCATAGATGATGGATCCTCTTCATGCTTTTGCTGGGCTAGTGGTCAAAGAGCAGCAACTCTATTACGGCTTCATGAGGAACTCTCCCTTAGAGCTTTGGGTGGCTACTCGTTGAAGTGGATGGCGATGGGAAATGGTCCATTTAGATCCATAATGCATCATCTCGAAAGAATAATAAACAAGCATAACAGAATAACTATCAAGAACTGTGGACCACCAGCCGATTCCTGCTATCAAGATCTCACTGTCTCAGTCAGTTCGGGTAGTACTCTCAGTGCCTTTGACGAGTACTTCCTAAAATTCATCGCCTTCAATTCTTGCTTTGGTTCGATCTTGGTAAGTTTGTGATATTCAACGACGCTTGTTTGTTTACTAGTTTATCATATGAACTCTCAACTGATGCTTGCCGTCTCAACCTTTCTTTCCATGTGTGTACAGGCTGTGGCTGGAAGCTTGATGGATGCGAATACTGTTGTGGAGCTAGAGACCGAGCAGCTTAAACATACCGGAACGACTATTCCTGCTGGTCAAAACATGTGGGCATCAGAGGTTCGTTTCCCTGATACTCTCACTGATGCCAGGCGCATGATGCAAGAGCTCTTAGTTAGTTAGTTGACATGTGGTCATCATGAGGTATTTCTTTCATATCACCTTGTAATGTTAGTCAAATTGGTCTTAGAGATCATGTAAGCGTTATACAAGCTAACAGGTCTAAGAAGGACACGATGCATCAATGATATGAGAACAAAAACGCTATGAGCATGATTAGTCGTATCATACAGAAGTTTTTGCACCGCCAGGTACAGATGACAAGCAGTGAACAAAAACAACACATGCCATTTCTTTGTTCTTCTTCACAAACACATTGCGAAATGCGAATATACATTCATTTCTTTTTATATGGTACAGCCTAACTTGTGACTCTGTTGGTAAACCTAACATGCAACATCATCAACCGCATCTCCTATAATCTCCCAGTGTCAGAGAGAGAATCGAGACGGCGCAGATTCCTGGTGCTTGTAGTCCCCTGAAACGTCCATCAACTGTTCTCTGATGGACGAAACAAGACGGGAAGCTTCATGGTCGAAAACTATGGGATACCTCGGCAAACTCTGGAGAAATGGTAGCAAAGTTGCAGGCAAAGTGCTTCAGTATTCCTCTAGCATTCACATTCTGCAAGTACTGCAGACTTTCCCACGAACAAATATTATAACAAGTCAAGCATTAGAAGCATGAATGGATTACAAAGATGAAGTTCTAGATCAACTGTTGCTTCAGGCAAATTAGCAATATACCTTACCCATGACTCAATGGGTTAAGCTGCAAAAATCCGAGCGCAAAACCAATAGACCAATGAGAACCCTTTAAAACCCACATCGAAAAGATTCATAATTGGCAATCAGGGAGCTGAAATTCAAGATTACTTTGAACGCCGGAGATTGGCCGCGAACAATAGAGCAAAAGACACAGTCTTGGGTCCCCTGTTTTCCGCCGCCGGAGCTCGCAATAAAAATTAGCAGCAGCAGAAGAAGAAGAATTACAAGGAGATACGAATTGGGTTTGAGTATGGAAGGAAGCAACAGGAGAAGCGGAAGAGGGGAGAAAGTGGGAGCAAAGAATGGCGAGCCTTATTCGAGACTCCATTGCTAAGCATTTATTGGTAGCAGGAAGAAAAGGGCTTGCCCAGAAAGAAGCAACGGACATATGAACCAAAAAGGAAGAGGAAGAGGAAGAGGAAGAATGGAAGTGAGGTGGAAAGCGGGAGGCTTCGTTGGATTTTTGGATTCCCTTATCCACAGATCACTATGTAGAGACAGAAAGATTTTGGTTTTTGCTTGCCAAAACCAGCAGACATTTACTACTTAGAGTTCGTTTGCTATTGGGATTTTGATCAAGGATTTTGGGCTAAAAACCCACACTTATGGGATTATGGACAAAGTCCATGTTTGTTGCAAAAATTGTGTTGGATTAGTTCTTGTGGGACCCATGCATAAGGGATTATAGTGGGATCAAAATCCGTGGGGTCCACGGATTATAAAATCCTACCTCTTTAGGTGGAATTTTGGGAAGAGTCATAATCCATGAAAGCAAATGACAAAAGTAACCTTATATATTTTCAATATTCCGATGTTGCCCTCATTATTTGTAGGGTTTGACAAGCAACCTCCATCACATTCCCGTTTGTGTACCGTATGAAGCTTCCTCCGTCTCCCATTCTCGAGTGAAGTAGTTACTGCAACTTTTGACATGTTTTTGTTATGAAGTAGCTGCTACAAATTTCTGTTGTCGTTATTGTAAGTTACAAATTTCTATTAGCAGCTACTGCAAATTTGCGTTACCTGCTGAAAGTTATCATCATTATAAGTTTTGAACACATTTGAGGTTGCTTAGTAGCTGCTGCAAGTTTGTGTAAGGTGATGCAATTTTTTATTTAGTCCATACAAATTTAGTTAGCTAGCCACAAGGAACAAGTGGTGTTGGCGGAGTAAGCTGTAAAATAAACTTGGAAGGAGATGGAGAAGGTAATGGCGGAGGGCAGTGGCTTTTGTTCTTCTCTTGGAGATGGTAGTTAACAAGGATAAAGTTGTAAATTCAACCTTTAACTAATCAATTACAAAGACATAAATCCAATACTAAATCCATGAAGCAAACAAGTACTTTTGCAAATCCAACACAAATCCAAAATGACAAAATCCCACATAATCCTTCTATGATAAAATCCAGGGTTTTACACAAATCCTTGATTTTTCAGAATCCTACAAGCAAACGACCTCTTAGTACTTACTAGCGTGGCTAACTTCTAGATATCTCGACCAAATTGTTCGTTCTGCAACAAATTGCAATTCTTGTTGTTGTGGGTACTAATTCAATTCGAACCTGACACAAATTTGGGCACCATCATCAAGAAGACTCTGTTTATGAGCTATATCAAGTTTAGTAGTGATAAGCTTCCTTATCAATTCCAGCACTCTATCCATGGAGTTTTTCTTTCTCTCTGTCGACGAGGGTGCCAAATAGCAGTATAGTCCTTCCACAGCCGAACAGTAAAACTTCTGAGAAGTCAGATGGTAGTTGGGCAGGATCCATGAATGCTTCCCGATCAGCTCACTATATTCTGTGGTCCTCTCAGAACTACAGAATGACAGATGCTGATATTGCATTTATTCTCTCTCTCTCTCTCTCTCTCTCTCTCTCTACTATGATATACGATCACCTGATCAGCTGATGCATTTGGCTATTGGCTTCACACTATAATTTGACCTATTTGCTTAAAGATTGAGCAAGAAACGATGATGAACAACAGGTTACCTTTTTACTTGAACTGCAACATGTTTCAAAATTGTTACTCATGCACAATAAACAACTGCGATTGAATTGCTTGAATGACAGAACAAGTTCCTGACTCACTTTGAGCACCTGACACGATATCAGTCGTTGTTTCGCAAGCTGCTAACTTTGTTTAGTCCATCCAAATTCGGCCCAATTGTTCATTGTATCTAAGACGTCTTGGCACGATTCAATGATCGTTGGTGCATCAAATGGTTATAGTCCCAGCAACCGGAACCTCAAGAGAATAATCTCCGGATATTCCACACAATGGTAAAAACTCTAAAACCTTTCTAAATGAAAACTTATATAATTTACGTATTAAATTAAAGCACTTCTACCATGCTATATAGCATCGGTGCTTTAATGTACAACTTAAAGTTGTACCATTACATTAAATGTATAAGTGTAGATTGTACCATGAAAGAATTTGTATCATTATGTTATGGTACAACTTTACAGCTTGAAGTTGTACCATCAAATAAAAGTACAAGTTGTACCATAAAAGAATTTGGACAAAATGTATAATTACAATCTGAAGTTGTACCATAACGTTAAAGATACAATTTCATATTGTACCATAAAGGGAAAAAAAACTATAGCACCAATACTATATAGCATTGTAAAATTCCTCATTAAGTTTACAACCATCTTTAGCCATTCAATTTATAAATCATAAACCCTCGATGTGTCAACAGTCAACACTACTTGTAAGTGGTCTTACAAGACAAAAGTGATACACTTGCGATACTTTGTGTTATAGAATAAAGCTGGTCTTACAACATTTCTTCTGGATTTCTACTTGCCTTGCACTAAAAAGTGAAAGCGGAAAGAAGAAGAAAGTCAATTCTGTGGAGAGGGCAGCAGAAGAGGGACTTTTGGACATTCGCAAACTCTTGAAATTGGGGAAAACAAAAATGGTGCTAAAAGTTTGTATCTTTCTTCATGGTATGGCCTGCTGGTATGGCATCTTAACACTACAAACACTCCACTCTGTGCCTAAGGTAATGTCCAGCACCAGCAGAGAGAGAGAGAGACAGAGAGAGTTTGTCTTGAAAACAGTTTGCAGAAAGGGCTTTGGACTTTTGCAGGCTAAATCCCTCTCTTAGATTCCTTTTTCCTTTCGTCCTTTTATTGTTCCTAGAGGTTCTTCTTTGCCATTTTTCAGTTCTCCCATTGGTCTCCTCATAAGTCATAATACTCTGCACCCTCTCTGGCTCTCCTTCACTCTGTTTCTCACTCCCCTGCATTCTGCTTCTCCATTGAAGGAACCCATTTCTCGTGGAGCAATGAGGAAGAAATGAAACTCCAAACCAAACCCACGAAACCCTTCTCTTCTCCTTTCTAGATACCATTTTCCTACCCACATTACTCCTCAGCGTCCACTCCAATTCCATTTCCCCTGCCATTTGCTTCTCCTCCAAACAACCAAATGTCGATGCCACTAGGCCAGCAGCAGCAGCCCGACATAGGCGTGGAGCCTTTCGCCATCCACTCATCGTCTTCGTCGTCTCATGCTTCGATCGGGCCGGTCATCGCTGTGCTGGTAGTGATCATGATACTCGGCATTGTGGCAGGGATGATAGGGAGGCTGTGTTCTGGGAGGACTATTTTTGGTTATGGTGATTATGATATAGAAAGCTGGGCTGAGACCAAATTCTCATCTTGCATTGATGGAAGGATTACCACCAGCAACACTCCACCGCCGACGGGCGTCACAAGGGATCCACAATCGGGTGACAATGCAGTAGCTTCCCCTGCTACCACTACTCCTACTCCCACTCATGATCATGAAGAAGAAGAAGAAGAAGAAGAAGATGAAGATGATGATGATGATGAAACAAATGCAGCTGCTTAAACCTCAACTTCCACTCTAATTACTTCTCACTATTTTGGGTTCTGGGAATCATTGTTGATTGTTTAACCATTGAATGAATGGTCTTGTTACTTCCTTAGGTTTGATTGACTCTGTTCTTTCTTGAATCCAATTCTCTCTGTTTTTAGTTATTTGGTCCTGGTTTTCTCTTTTTGGGTTTTCTTTTGGTTTGTGGGTTCACGTGAAGGGGACTGACATGATGAGAATGATATATCGGAGTAGGTAGTGTTATTCTCACGAAACTGTAGCATTCAGAGAAGTGAGAAGAGAGAAAAGGGTTTCAGTTTCAGAGAGGGAAAAAAAGCTGCACATGTTTTTGTTATACCTTATGACTTCCGACGTTTACCACTGCTGCCTGCGGTTCCCTTCTGCTGCTCTGCCCCTCACATCCAGCCATAAACCTACTCTCAAATCTCCATCATAGATTTAGACATTCCAGTCAATACCTCCAATTAATTTTTGTTCAGTGGAATGAAAGGAGTTTCCTGAACAATATGCTTGACCGGAATATCTGAATTATCTCCGAGCAGCAGCAGGACCTGAACGAGACTGGTACCTCAATATTTATAATCGTTTTGTGCCTAAGCATCTTCAGTGCACATCAACCCATTCTAATAGGAAGACCGAACAGAACAAGAACAGAATGGTGCGAGGCAAAACCAGTAGGGAAAATCTCGCTCCAGTTTCTCTCGAAGCAGATAGCAGACTGGAATAAGTCAAGTCAAAATCGTCATTACTGTTTGAGAACACAATTCAATAACATCCTACATTAACTGCATAAGAACAAGAGGGTCTTACATGATCAATATACATAAGAGGCAAAAAAAAAAAAAAATTTGGGGGGCTGCTTCTTTCTTGCTTGCTTTTGTTTTGTTTGCCATTGTGGTGAATATAGCCAACAACAAAACAGAAGGCCCGCCACCATAACCACATGGGTAAGAATCTTATACTTGACAGAGGGGAGTCAGAGAGAGTTATGGTGGCTGAGTTGGTGTTCCCGTTCCAGAAGGCGTAGTGATAGCGGTGGTAGAGTGGGGACGCCTGAGCTTGAGGAGATGAGAAATGGCAGCAACCACATGCAATCGACTGCTGGGAACTCCAGTCTTCCCCACCGCCTTTCCATTCTTGTCCAGCATCACAAAACAAGGTACGTACTTTATGTCATAATGCAGCAGCTGAAGACCCACAACACCAGCAAAAACACACCTCAATCATCTGAAAGACTCGACCTTTGCTCGTCAAAAAAAAAAAGAAGTTCATCATACACCAATCCAAATTAAACATGAATTTGCAAGCAAGACCACCATCGATTTTCCTTAGCAGAAGGAGAATAACTCAGTCTAGACTCCCTACATCGTTTTCTTCTATGCCATCATTAAATTTCTTGTTATTAGGAACTCTGAGAGTGGGGGTTTAGGTAAATTTTACCTCAGGCAGCCATTTCTCGTTCTCTGCGTCGGCCATCACGACACTGACCCAATCCGAGTTCCGCTTCTCCACCTCCGTCACGAAATTGACCAACGAGTTGCAGAGCTTACATTTGGGGGAATAGAATTCAAGCACCGTCGCCTGTTTCCCACTGGCCAGAGCCGACGCGAAAGCTCTCTGCTCCGCCTCCCCCTGCTCTTCCGCCGTCAGCGCCTTTACGTTCCCCTTCGCCGGTCCCAATTTGACCGAATTGAAACTGCTATTCGGCCATGAGGTCGATGAATTGGAAATCGTGTTGAAGGAATTGATGGCGATGGAGCTCAGGGTGTTGAGTGATTTGAACAGCCATGGACCGTCGTAGGAGCAGGGGGTCGAGTTTCTTCTGGGGTGTTTCTGATCGGCGGCGTCCCACGGCCATTTTAGACAGAAGAGTGGTTGCTTTGGAGCTGCTTCGCTCTTCATTTCCTAGAAGAAAATTCCGGAATTGGGGAAGACTGACTTCCTTCCCAAAAACTTTTTTTAGCACCGGGGTTTTGGACTGATAGGCTTTTGTTTTGACGGTGAACCCTACCCTTCTGCTGGGCTAAAAGGCCCCCGAGGCCGAGGGTCCATTCGGCCCATCATGAGAAAAGCTAGATCGTTTTATGGGCCGAATCAACGGGATCACAAGCCCAAAATTCACTGTTGAGTAAATGGTCTTAATTCACCAGCACAGTGTGTCCTTTTTAGCCCAACTCGACAAAACCTAGTATTTTTTTAATCGTATCTATTTATTATTCAATTTCTATAAAAAAAAATCATTAACCAAACGTATCGAAATACTAAAAATTAGCCAAATAATAACTTTAGGTTAGCAATTTTGTTAGTAATATTGACTTGACAACATGATATTGACTTGGACGATACACATGAATGTCAATATTCCAAAATTTTAGTATTTTAACTAAGAAAAGAGTTACAAAATTATTAACGATAGCGTAAAAATGGCTAATATTTTGATGTGTTACAAAAAAATGTGGCTAATTAATAGCATTTTAATAGATTGAAATTATATAAAAGAATCTGAAAATGATTTTGATAAAAAAAATAGACATTACCCTATTTTTTATATAAGAACGAAACCTAGTATTATCAATTATGCTTGTTGATTGTTGGTGGATAATGTGGGATGAAAATACTGACTATACTATAGATGTAAATTCTGAAACCGATAATCATTAAGAAAATTTAATGGAATTGACCCATAAAATAATAGGATTTGGGTTCTCGAATTGGATGAACTCGAAAAAAAAGAAAAAAATAAAATAAGTCCCGGAAAAGTAGCTAACGACTTATCTTGATACAATTTCGTAAGAAATGAAAATGAAATTTTCTTTATATTTGTTAGTATAAGATTTCATTTTCAAACCACTTATATATACTTTTATCCATACATTAAAAAAAACTATCTGAAATCAAATCATTATTTTTCCAAATTTTATAACGGTACAAAACGCATAAATATTCCCCGCACATTTACAACATGGCATTTTGGGCTTCCCTTCTGCCTTCACGATCACAACACATCCCAACAAGATGACAATAATAATTAGGGGTGTTCAAACGGTTTGGTTACCATGGTAACCGTTTTAACCGGTACTATTTGGATAATTTGGTTTGGTTAATTTGGATAATTGGTTTGGTTTGGTTAAAGTTTTTAGCTTGTTTAGTTTAGGTGGTTTGGTTTGGTTTCAGACACTCCTAACCAGTCAAACCAAATTAACCAGTTAAGTAATTAGTCATATATCTAACATATATTATATACACATACTTAATACTTTGCATAACCACTCAAGAGTTAACGTTCATCCCTTTTAGACTCATAAAATATAAAGCTCAATATTGCTCATATAGTGTATATTTGTATATGTAAAATGTAGACCACAACATATGGACGCCTAATTTAGATAAATTTCATACATTATGATGGATGTAAACTTGAAAGGAAGGTCATTTCCAGCCTATGATAATTGCTAAGAGACTAAGTCAATTTACACAAACACAACAATTCATTAACCCATACCATTGTCATAAATTTTTGTTAGGTGAATACTTCTATACTAATCGTAAGATAATTGTCTTAGTTGCATGTATTTTTGTTAAGAGTCAACTATAACTACGTGTTGGTTGTTATGTTTTATTCATTATATAAACTGCGAATTGTTGCATTAACCGGAAATTTTTCATCGTCAATGATAATGTGATTTTATATTGGTTAATCTGGTTAACCAATTAACCAAACCGATTAAACTTTAGTTTGGTTAATTTGGTTGTTGTATTAGTTTGGACGGTTTAGTTATGATATTGTATTCCATGGTTAATGGAATTTAGCCTTATTTGATTTGGTTATAACCATGGTCATTGGTAACCATTTGAACACTCCTATAATAATAAGCTCGTCGTGAAATAAGGCACAAGTTGCAGCCGTTTTATAACATGGTTCATCCCTCGGCCACACCAAAACAAAAAACATATAGTCTCATCAATGATTAATTAGCAATGTTGCCACCGTCTAAGCAGTCTCCTTTACACTTTTGGCCTCACATTTTGCAACTTTTTCCAAGTCGTCGCGATTCGTGAGCAGGAATATGAATATATTGGGGATCGGATCGGATGATGGATCAATGAAAAGAAGAAAAAGAGATGACAACAACCACACAATTAACTTGCTTTGCTTAATTGCTTTCTATCTTTTTAGTTTCTAGAAGCTTTAATTCATTGATTACTATTCAATTGGTTTCCCGTTCCATGTTAATGCCGGTCAAGTTGTTGGAGGACGGGGCGACCTATTCTTACATGTTACTTCTAAAAATATATGAATTTTTTTTATTTTTTACGATAAAAGTAAGGGGAAAACACTTTATAAATGAAAATAGTAATAATAGAATGAGTAATTGAGTCTAACTAATTGAAAAATCAAATATAACTAGTTGAAGAAAAGTCAAAATAGGAGAAACATGAATAGATACTATAAAAATTTGAGATAGAATAGGCAAAAAATGTGGCGATGCGGGCAGAGCGAGTCTGAAGTAGATACTCATATCCTCCCGCCCCACACTATTGGGTAATACATACCTCATCGCGGGTCAGATATAGTAATACCCGACGGGACGGATTCAAATTGTCATCACTACCGAGCTAGCTACATAGCTCTCCAAATGAAGAGTATTATCGTAAGTAACATGATCAGTGTTGGATTGGATTGTTAACTTGTGGATGGTTTTAATAGGTCGGTCTAAGATAGAGTGCATAATACTTTATTATACTTGTTTGTATAACCATATTTAAGTAGCTTTTTATTTTTATTTTTCCTACACATACTCATTTAAAATCACTTAGGATGCTCAAAACTTGCTGTAAAACCAGGAGCATCACAATATGGGAAACCCCCATCTCTCTCTGTCCCATTGATTACAACTTTTAGTGCAACCTAACCTACCAACGAGACATGGGCTGTGGCGGATACAGGGAAGGCCACTCCGGACCACGGACCAGCCCTCTTCTGAATCCGAAGTTAGTATAGCCCTTATTAGGGGTCGTTTGCTTCTAGGATTTTAGAAAATGAGGGATTATGATAAAACCTTGGATTTTGAATATGAGAGATTATGTTGGATTTTGATTATGTTGGATTTTGAAACTTCCATGTTTGTTTGTAGGATTTGGTAAGGGCTTTTAGTAGGTTGGAATTATGGCTTGATGGGGGAAATTACTTTCTTATCCTTAATGAACCACTTTTTACTTTACTTGTATTTTGAATGTTTTTGTATATACATGAAGAATTAGCATATGTAAAAATGGCAGCAACATCCATACTATTTGGTCATATTGTATACACGCAAGAAGCCATTAAAGTAAATTGAAACTCTCAACCCAAACCAATAATGTCGAAAGGAAAATCAAGGGTTTGGATTGGATTATAAAAAAAGAGGATGTAAGCATGAAATAATTAATTGTTGAGCTTCATATAAAAGGAAGACAAAACGACGATAGGCAGAGATGGAAAAGGTTGCCGGAGCTTTTTGCTGCGTTGCAATCCCTTGGCAACGAAGAGACAAAGTTGATGAGATGAGAGTGTAGACAAAAGTCCTCAGTAGAGATAATAATAACCGAGGGCAAAATTGGATTACACAAAATGAGTGGGGGTAACACGGTCATTAAACATCATGGATTATATCTATCTTCCAAAATCCTAGCTATAGAGGTAAGATTTTATAATCCATGGGGCCCACGGATTTTAGCTCCAAATAATCCAATATTAGTGGACCCCACAGATTGAAACAAAATCCATTATATGCTAACAAACATGGATTCATTATAAAGTCCAACAGCCCAAAATCCAACACCAAAATACCAAAAGCAAACGACCTCTTAATTTATTGGTTGTAGTCATTCGGTCCAGTGTTATTTTATAATAAGATTGTGTGTAATTAAAAAAATGGGTCAGATGAACATATTCAAAACACAACTCTAAATTTAACCTGAAAATTCTAACACCAATGATTCTCATCTAAAAAAATAAGCAATGAAACCTAAAATTCTAAAAGTAAAAAACGTAAAAGATTAAAATATGAGGTTTGTTCACTTGAAAAATTACTAGAGTAGCTGGTGAAAGTAGGGATTGACACACAATATATATTAATTAGTCGATTGATTTGTCTAGTGTTGACACTGCTCGTTTCAACAACTACGGAGAGAACCATTTCACAAATGATATAGGTGAAAAATTATCTATGTAATAAAATGAGCGATGAATTTCTCGCCAATTGGTTAACTATTTTATCTTAAAGAGAGTATGCTATTGGTATGGATGTAGACTCCGTTATTAATGAATTCACTATATTAAAATTTAAAAAGACCAACGTGTACAATTGATATTGCAAAAAAAGTTATGATTTTCATACGGTATCTAATTCTCTAATGAAATGCGGCCCAGTGCTCTACTGTATCCTTATCCGCCGCTGTACATGGGTTTTGGTTGGATAGTAGCATAGTCTGCGAAATTTTGTCCAGGAAGCAAGAATCCACCATATAGCCTCCCCTTCTGTTAGAAAATAAAAAAGGGCCACTTTAACAAGTAAAAAAAGAAGAGCAGAAAGCATTTAAAGCAACAACCAAAGGAAGGGCAAATTCTGCTTTGCTTCCACATGTCCGGTTGGCTGGGAACAAGACCGGATTTGGGCGATCTACGTTTGGTTGCAAGTACAATCCACCCCGCCTGTTCTGTATCTAAATAGCAATAAATATATAGCAATACACGACATCTGAAGGGATGAATGCAATGCATGCACCTGCCTGATATTTGGATTGCTACTAAGAATTCTTATGATTAGTTGCTTTCTTTTATATGCTGTAACAAGATGACTATTTTGCAAACCATTGATTGATGTGAAGAAGGAACATTATCCAACATGAATGCCTTCGATTTTGCTCCATTTCTTTATATAATTCATGTGGGAAGGTACATTGCTAGTACGTACGACAGGTCCCAAGATCCCATTTGACATTGCCCTACACTACACATGATAAAATTAAACTCATTCTTCTTCTTCTCCATGCCTACATATCATCCCAATCCATTGAATGTTCATTAACTACATTTGGCCCATTTTCAACTCTCAATCTTTGGCCTTATTCAGCAATTATATTCTTGTCAGATATGAAGATTTGGGAGGATCCTCAATCCTCATCACCCTTAGTTTGGTTTGTATGTGTG